TTTAATATTTAGTATTTAGGTACCTGCTAACTATGTTTCTATAAAATTTCGTGTTTTTAAAAGGTATATCTTTTGAATTTATAGGAGGAAAAACACATTAAAAATTGAAACATTTTTTTATTTGGTTAATAAGCAAATCACTATAATTTACATATTTACTCGTAATTTAATACTGGACAATCTATTACTCAGCAAACCTGCATTGTTGAGCTGCATCTCGACTACATAACCTCAATTTATTTGTTGTGTATCTGCACTAGGTATGCATCCTTAGATTACTGTAGTTGTTAGGCTTTCGCGGCCGGCGTATATCGATGCTGTGTTTTCTTCCGGGCTTCCGTGGTCCGTAGAATCTTTTCCTTTTCCAAACGTTTCGCCGTTCTTTGCTGACTCAGCACCTGTCCAGTCACCACTGAAGATGCCATCAGAAAAGAACGGCGAAACGTTTGGAAAAACAAGATTCCACGTACCATGGCCTAAAAAACCCGGAAGAAAACGCGGCATCGATATCCTTAGATTATACGTGCTTACCCCAAGATTTTCTAATTTGCTAAGAATCCCCCATCAACAGGTAAACACGCTCCATTAATTAAACTTGCTCTGTCACTTAGAAGATATACTACTGCATCTGCTACTTCTTCGACTGTCCCAAATCTGTATGTTGACATAAATAAATCGCTCATTGGTATGATATTTATTAAAATGATAACATTATTGCTTCAGAAAACTAAGGAATATGTAGGTATTATATTTAAAAATAAATACATATACTAAAATTAAAAAAAAAGAACAGTATAATCGAAATGAAATTGCATTCCGTTAAAGGCTCAATTGAAGGATCATTTGCCTAGGCATCTTTACTTCTAAATGAAAATATTAGGCCCTTATGGGGTTATTTTGCCGACTTACAGATTTGTTATCAAAATTATNCCGTTGTCTTAAATTTTGGTATTACTTCGAATTTCAAACCTCTTAGTCATGCAATCTAGTTGGTTTTTTTACTATTTAAATTTTAAACGTAAACGTAATCTATTTAACGAAACAAATCGGCCGTTTCTTCCATCATGTATAAAAACTTTTAATTTTTTAATTGTTACGCTATGTGCCTGCCTTAAAATTCATTGTTTTTGTTTAGTTCGGGTCTAATTGTAAACGAAATGTTTGTGTTTTTATTTGACAATTATCTTTCGTAATTTAAACCGTGGTTTACGTAAGTCATTTAGGTTGCTGCCGGTGGTTCGTCCAATGAACTTGCGTTTCCAACCATGGCAAGTCAGCTCTATATTTGCACGGAATTTATTTACGCCCACAACAACCAAGCAATCGTAAAAATACTGTTATCCATTTAACCGATTACTTGTTCTAAATATCCACATTTACATAAATGTGTGTCTATAACGTTGCTGTTTATAGGTATTGTGTGCATAACAATGTACAATGCATTATTTGTTATCTGTCCGTTCATTAACAAGTCCAGTACAAAGGAAAAGTAGGTAGGTATTTAAAATTAAATTCACTCAAAACGATTATTATATTATGCATGTACGAGGTTTGTTCAAAAAGTATCGCAATTTTTGTGTTTTTGCCGTCTTTATGTTCTCAGTAGTAGCGTAGCGTCGTCCTTTCATGGGTCTCTTCAGTTTCGGGAACAACAAAAAGTCACAGGGGGGCAGATCTGGGGAATACGGTGGCTGCGGTATTATTAGTGTACTGTTTTTAGCTAAAACTTCGCGCATAAAGTTGTAACCTCGTGATGGCGCTAGCGTTGAGCGTCAAATTATGGCTCCACCTACCTGAAATTAGTAGAATCATGACTGGCGTCAAACGTCAGCGTCAATCTAAAAAAATAACCAGATAAAAAATCGCAAGTCGATACCTCGATATATACTTACCTCTAACCTAATTTTTATAAAAGCACGTGGCAATTGTAAACAAAAAAACTTGTAACTACAATAAATGTTAAACATTATAGAAACTTATTAAAATATTACATCAAACATAACTGACTAATCGAAATTTCGATGGCAGGCGATTATGATTATCAAATGTGGATTTATCAGTGCCAAAAAATAATTCATGAAGCTGAAATAAGGAAAAGAATCAGGCGCAAATGAATTATTAGTGCTTTGTTATGCAATGAATTAGTTATACAAAATGTAAAAATATTTCTGTTATAATTATTGTTTAGGTTTTAGGTAATATAACTCTTACATCTTCCAGAATTTCTAGATCTTCATAATCTTCAAAAAGTGCCATTTTCATAAAATAAATAATAAATAAAATCGAAGGTTTAGTTTAGATTTACTTTTAAAATAAACAATAAGAGTGTTCTTAATTTTTTCAATATCGATTACTATCGAGTTCGACTATATACATTTTGAATTAACTGTTGATCTTTAAAATAAAAAGCTGATTTGTGTTTAGTTTTTTACGATTTGACGTTACAAGATTTTTTTCTAGATGGCAGCACAGCCTAAATTGATCACGTGATGTGATTTGGCCCTCAAAGCTAGCGTCAAGCGTCAGCATGAGGTTACACCTGTATTGTTTTTAAAAATAATAAGAAGTTGTATATGTATATTAACCTTCCTAGCGGGATTCTAGCCAACATCGGAGCTGATTTGACAGGATCCGACCATGACTTCCTTCCCATAGCGGTCATAACGATTGTAGGGTTAACACTGTTGACCCGAATGCCGTGGGGCCCAAGTTCAAGGGCTGCGGCACGGGTAAATGCGTCCACCGCGCCTTTACTGGCACAGTAAACAGACTTACCAAGTATACCGGCCATCGATGCTTGAGAAGAAACATTCACAATTGCTCCGGGAACTTTACGAGAAATAAGGTCAGATGCAACCATTCGTGTCAAATTAATTGTGGACTTTGTATTAATATCAAATTGCCTAGAATTAATTACATATTCAGGAAGAAGTTAGCTACTTATGTTATGTACACACGTTAGAACTCATACTTCTACTTACATATTTTTTATTTAGTCAGTTCACATATACATAATTAAATTAGTATGAGTTTAAATTATTAATTGAATCTAATTTCGTTGGTGTTCAAAATTTAAATTGTGAAAAATGACTCTAATCTCGCCAATTAACCAACGATGTGTTTTATATTTGAAATTTCTTTATTGTAAAAGCAAAGCGACGTTTCGACTGTGTATTTCAGTCATTTTCAAGCTCGAATTTCTATCATTGCTTACATCTAATGTCGACTAGTATCACAATTGGTTTTAACAAAGGTTTTCACATTAACAAACTTTATCTTAAATTAAATAAATTTATCAAAAACACCGCCAAAAACTAACTGTTAATATGAAAACCTTTGTTAAAACCAATTGTCATACTAGTCGACATTAGATGTAAGCAATGATAGAAATTCCAGCTTGAAAATGTCTGAAATAGACAGTCGAAACGTCGCTTTGCTTTTACAATAAAGAAATTTCAAATATAAAACACATCGTTGGTTAATTGGCGAGATTAGAATCATTTTTCACAATTAGTATGAGTTTATTTAAACAATGTTTTCGATTACAGTTGATGGTTAAGGAAACCACAATATATAATATAAAAATGTTTTAATAAGCAATATATTCAAATCGTCGTTAATTGTTTCGATGTAGTAGGTCAATAGTTTTGGTTTTGGAAGAAAGTTTCTTTTATCGTAGGTTTCAGTAATATTGTTACCTTTTTTCTCATTTTTTGGTCAGTAAAATTGGGATATAGCAGTATTAGCATCTAGCAAGGAGGAGTTAGAAA